ACTTAAAAATTAAAGATTACCCCAGAATGCATTGCTAGCCCACCCCAACACTTATGAACAATAATAATGATAAATTCTGACCAATAATTTATTATATATATATATATATATATATAGTAAAAAAAAAACTTAATTTTACACTTTCAAAAATAACAGTTTATAATATATTTCCATATACTGTTTTTTGCATGTACTTTTGTCACTGGACAACGAATAGCACAGCACGACCCATTTCATTCAGGTATGTGTCACGACTTTGCTCTGGCTTTATCATAAAGCTCACCTTTCCATAAGGCTGTGCTAAAAGCACAAATCCAAACTTCCTGCATCAGTTTACTTGCCTCCTCTGTCCTAACTCCACCCCTCCAATCACGGCTATCCACAGAGACTTTATTCACATCCACCTCCTAATAAACATCCTGGATACAAAGGCAAAGAGCAATTTAGCCACTTCTATTTCAGGCTCTTTAAACTCTAATGGACTCTGAGCAAAACAGAAATGTGTCACACAGGCTTTTGTTCTGGCCTTACAACCCTACAAGGAAGACCTCTTGAAAACATCACGCCTGAATGTTGTTTTCTAAACGCCAATATAGTTTTCTGATGCATTTTCTTTTTCATGTGCATATGTTGGTGTATACAATCTCACACACTTCAAAATCATGGTCTAAGAGAGTGACTCTGCAAGAAGGCATATCTCCAGAAACATATCACGACCACATGAAGAATAGCAGCTTTCATTTCATTCTTAAGCTGTGGCTTTAAAGGGAAAAATCAAATCTTTGGGATATGAAAGATGAGAGTTGGAGGGGCACACATGTCCTAAATCCCCCCATTCAGACCGTGCATGTGCTCAGTGTGTTGAAAAAGAGGAAGTAGTATGAGTTGAGTGGCTTTATTTTCATGAAAACTTTCAGTATGTGGCTGACTTTAAAACTTGATGTGAACTGTCTAATTAGGCAACTAAAGTGGAAACTCATAATCAGTGTTATTTTAGTATACTAATATAGTTTTTGTTAATATTTTGAAGTTTGAGTTTTTTTTATATTTTCTGCTTTTGTTTTCATTTTAGAACAAGTTTTAGTAATTTGTTAAAAGCACAATTATGTTGTGCTTTTTGTCATTTAAATTGTTTTTAAATATATCTTTATATTTTTTATATAGTATTACATTTAAGTTTTTAAACATGTATGGTATACTCTACATGTATACCAAAATCACTCATTATGTGATGTACAACATTTGACTAATTTCACAATTGTTTCTAATAGCAAAATAGCATTTCTATTGGCAAAGTTGGGTGAAATGTAATTTTTAATTGGATGAAGCTTCCTATTATTTTCCGTATGTAAAATATGAAATAGGAATATAAAATATTTCTAATAAAATATAATCAAACATTTTCCTTTGTTAGCTTTGTTATAGTTAAATTAATAATTATGAATGTTTGAATAAACAGACCTCAACACGATGCATTCTGGTATTGACTTATCAACAAATGGTATAAGCGATTTTGCCCTGCAGAGTGGTCAAGATTAGATCTCTTGGCATAATTTTGTGGAAAAGTATCAGGAATACCTAAAAAAAGTAGACTAGATAGGCTTGGGTTTGGACAAATAAATCATCTTTTAAACAAAGTTTAGGGGAAGAGAAACCAGAAGGTGATAAAATAAATTAAATAATATGAAAATCGTAATGCATGTAGCATAATTAGAAGACCCAAAAGTGGCATAGATGAAAACAAAACAAAATATAGTCCACCTACATCCTCAAGTGACCTTCTAAAGAGCAGAACAGCGTTATTGGGTGGTTTATTGTATATTGTGTGTCCCACTAGATTCTGGTTATTTCGCTAGTCATAACTTGTGATAACCTTCAACGTGTCTGACATAATTTCCCTGTGTAAATGTTAAGTGTCCGCGCGAGGAAGGAAGTTGGGGACAAGGAAAGTTTCAATCTCCCCTTTCTCTCCTTTTTCCTTGGGCTGCTGTTGTATTGTGACCGTGAGGGTGTTAAATTAGGATGAAGAATGTGCAAAGCACATCCTTAACCTCTCCTGAAGGAATAGTATCTTTACTCATCTGGCCTGTTGAATGTACAGTACACACAGGATTAATTAAAACAGCCGGACGAAAGGACACTGTGCTGGATGAGTACCAATTAGAACAGGAATGGGCATTTTCCAACAGAGAGGCCACGGCTAAGGGTCTCTGATCTTATGTAACCATTTCATATTCATCTCTATAAAATCTTTTATATTTGAAGTTTTCAATCACATGCAATTTATTAACTGAGGCAAATTAAATACTAATGTGCAATAAATGTAAAATCTGAAAAATCTTAAAAGGATAGACCTAAAAATTCATTTACTCACCCTCATATCTTTTGAAAACCATATGACTTTCATACAGCTTCATTTATATTTCAGCACAGAAAAGGCAAAATTAAATAAATAAAGAAAACTATAAATGCTGATGTGTGACATCATAGCATGTGGGCAGGGCCACATAATAATGGTTCACGCCCCCAAGATTTGAGAAACGTTAATGATACAGCATTTCCATTTACAGTAATATGTATCACTGAAGATCCACTGATATTAAAATTCTTGCTCATACAGAAAGGCATAAAATTGTTTTGATGTTGGCTGATATGAAAATCAATTTGTATTATTATTCTATTCTATACTAGTATTCATAAATAAATTTAAAATAAAACACTAAAAACTCAAATCAAGTGAATTTAAGCATCTCAGTGTCATGATGTTCAGTATGAAAGTTAATTTTAATATTTTAAAATATTTTATTAATTTTATGATTTGGGTGTTATATAATGGAAAACAATCTAAATATAAAAATAGGATAAATGAGAATTTTAAAATAAATATAAAATACTGACTATACAAAAATAAAATAAAATAAAAGTTTTCTAGTTTGACTGTATTCAGCTTGGTTTCATAAATTTAACTGACAGGTCATGACTGCTGACGTGTCCAAGATAAAATGTCAAAGGTTTAGGCTAAACATTTTCCAAACAAGTAAGCAACAACACTATTATCCCTGCTTTCTGCATGTAACCAGTGACTCAGCTCCTAAATCATGCTTCCCGTTTAATATCGGTCTGTCTTACTCTGCCTGTTAACTATAAATTGAATCTTTGAGGATCTTCTCTGATCTTATGGCGCTTTTCCACTGCATGGTACG